AATAAATTTAAACTAATTTTAACTGTTACAAATTATAATCAATTGAAACTTAATAATACCATTTTTTTCATTATATTTTTTAAGAATAAACAAAAAAGTAATAACTAATAATAACTCTTAAGAAGATGAATATTATAATATTCTTAAATTTGAACTTTATCATTTGTTACTACTAGTTTATGTGTGTTACTTGTTTTTATTAATAAGTAAATCAATGAGATCATTTTTGCTTGATTAGGAAAAAGTAAGTAGAGGTTACAAAGAATTCCATAGATATTGAATAAAATTCAGTAGTTAAAAAGGAACAGTCATGCTTCTGTCTACTGTGTTTACCGTAGCTTACGCAAGCTGAGTCATTACAAGTACTTACAGGAAAGAGAAAATTTATGTAACTTTCAAAGGTTTGTAAGGCTAAGGGCGTGAACTTATTTTTTATCGAAAGCGCCACAGGTACTTAAATTCTAATAAAACTGTAGTATAGTTTTTTTTCAAAACCGCGTGTAGACATCCTACGTTAGCACTCTGAGTATCATTTTTATTATATATATATAATCTCTTACAATTGTTTATGATGTAATCCACGGAAAGCTCGTAAAGAACCACACCGATGAGTCACATGTTCTTAGAAAAGGTTGACGTATTTTTCTAACCGATGAATACTGTAAATATAATACTTACCATACAGTTGCTGATATTTTCTGGTTACTTTTTCAGCTACATCGAAAATCCAGTGAGGTATTACAAATACCCCCTCTCTTGATTTAGCGAGTGGTCATGCAGGATTGCTAAGCAATATTTTTATCGGGCATTTTATATTTATTGTACAGCAAAATTTGAGCTAGTTACTAATGGGGTACTTAAATATATAATCGACTTCTGATCTATTATAGATGCATTTAACTGACGGTTTTTATACTTAGTCATAAGCATACTATTATGTCTAAGCCGTAAGTGTTTATATGTACAGCTGACACTAGTCACTTTACTGCACGTTGAATGTAAATACATGTAAAAAAACAGTGAAAATGAGCAAGTCTGCAGAAAACTTGACTACAGTGAAGCTGATTGTAATTAAACTAATATGAAGTCATTTTAACTCTTACAAACTCTATGAGACCGTATCGGTGAGATTATCTGTAAGTAGAAAGGAAGTGTCGGAAAAATTAAGATGGACTGATCACCCAAAGCTTACGCTGTAAAAAATGCTGTAGTAAAATCACTAGCGGATAGTAACTTTTTTTTACTATCCTGAGCATAGTGATTATGATATCTGATAGCGAAAACTATGTCTTGAGCATCGTAATTTCACTAGCAATGTATTTATATTACTATCCGCTATTAAAATTAATATGCTCAGCATAGGTAACAGTGAGACCTATGCTCAACATATTAATTTCACTAGCTGCATAATAAATACAATCGGCTATTCAAATTACACGGCAATGGAAATTTTACGTTCCGATAGTGAAAGTACGTTTAACATTCCTCGGAAAAATACGAGATGATAGTAATATTGCGCTCCGATGGTAAAAGTACAGTGATCCAAATTAGACGAGATAGTAAAAGTAATATCTAGTATTAAAGTTACATGCAGCTATTACTCTTGATGGGGCTAAGGGAATCTCGCATTGACTACATTAATGTACATGTATATTTCTACTTAATTTACGGTTCGTGCTTCGTGCTCTCGCACTATAATCAATAATTGTGATAAGGATTAAAAGTAAATTTATCATCAGTGCTCTTACAAATTCGTAATCAGTAAGTATTAGGTATATTGTATGTATAGCGAAAGCATTCTGGAAAGTAAACACTTTTCAGGTTATGTATCATTTCATGACGTCGTGGGTATACACCTTAGTAGACTAATAGCTAAATATTTCGGATCTCTACAAATCATCACGTTTCTCAATTGTGTGTGAAGATGTGTCTGTAGTGTGAAGAAATAATAACATAACCCTTTTATTGAAAATGGAACTATGAACAGTACGATAGTGCTTCTCATATCCAAGATATGACTTTTACTCTTGGGATAGTAAAATTACTACGCGATCGCAAAAAATTTCTGAAGATTTAGGCTTCGCTGAAAATTACTATCTTGACATTTAATTTTACTATCCGGGAAAAATATTTTACGAACCGATACTAAAATCCCTATGCTGAGCATAGATCTTCACTTTACCTGTGCTGAGCATAGTGATTTTACTACATCATTTTTTATAGTGTACGTGTTGATGATAGGGAAAAATATCAAAGCTGAGTTGAAAAGAGGGAATGCTGCTGTAAAAAGCAGAAAAAAAGTATTTAAATAATTGTTTCTTATAAATTTTTCTACAACTATTTTATTAATATTTTAAGGCCCCAATATTGTGATGAATGTACATACTAACCTCACTTTTCGTAATGTGTTTAAGAGCTTAGATTAAAACAAAAATTTATAAGAAAATATAATCGAAATCATTTTATTCTCTTTTCTAATCATATTCTTTACAATACACTTCTTTACTAATCTTCATTTGTGTATTGAAATCTCAGTTACGGCTAAAATAATATAACTGTGTATTTAAGCTTTGATATCATAAAGTAAAAGTTACTGAGATTTTAAGTATCATTTTTAAAACTTGTTAAACAGTAACCTAACAGTTCTTCTTTATTTTCATCATTAGCTACCCATAATTCGCTCAATGGAATCTCAATGGCTAGAACTATTTGGAAATAGATCCAGAGAATTAAGAGAAAGACGAAGGCAGGATACAAGAGATCAGGCTGATGAAATCACTAGTGCTGGAAGTCAGTTCCATAATTTTTTTTTCCTTCAACAAACTAAATTAAACAAATTTTTTTTTATATTCTTTGCCATTCAGTTTATTTTTAGTTTAAAATAATTTTTTAGCGAAGTTTTTTTAACAGTAGTATTAACCAAATAAATTTTCAAATAAAGGAGCTCAAAGTTTTAGAAGATGTCCAGAAGATGATGCACGCATGAAACGAGCTACAGAGAGAGAAGGAAGGAGAGCACGAAGACGTAGAGCTAGAGAACTTGCCCCAATCATGGAAAGACACATGGATGGTATGTCTAGTGACGATGAGGTAACAGAGCAGAAAAATCTTCTTTTCAGACAAGCAAAAGGTATTAAAAAAGTTATTACTGAAGCATATGGTTAAAAACAGTTTGTATTTAATATTTAAATAATACTTATCATGCGTTACTTCGGAAAAAATTTAGAAAATGTTACATGTCATAATGAATTCACTTCTAATAATCTAACGTCAGAAAAAATCTAGGTACACAAGTAAAAATTAAATAAATGAATAACTATTAACTTATAGATACAAACTGATAATAAGGAATAGAAAAGTCCAGAGACTGAGAATAAAATTTAACAACTGTTAGTTTTTATTAGTTATNATTATTATATAAAAAGTACGTTAATAGTACTGGTTACTAGCCGCGTTTTATACCAATTAATAGGCTTTCATGACACAGTCAATGAAAGTTGTAATTATATAGTTACAACATTTGAAGACAAGATTGTAATTGTCTATTATTTGTATCCAGGAGTTATAAGTAAAGGAGGAAGTTGATTTTCATAGAACAATGAACCCTGAAATTGAAAAATTGATTAGTGATAAAGTTAAGTCGAGGGCTTTTTGCTTCAATGCAGTATACGTTTCGCAAAGTATTTAAATCAATAGAGCTGAGGACAGAAAAGTTGGCCTACACAAGTCTATTTAAGCTGAAACATCTGCTAGAAATTTTGTTATCATAAGAAATATTGTAAAATAGCTAATGAACTTGAAGCTGAACACTTGGATGTTGAAGGCCTTGAGAGGCAAAGGGTTTCACTTGCTGCTTAACCTTTTTCTACTAACATTGCTGAGGCTGCACGATTGGATGGTCTCAACGGCTTTTTTGATTCAGACAATACAAAGTGTGATGTTTATGAATATTGTGCCAGTTTACTAAAACTTATAAAAGATTGGATTAACGTTTTGAATTCTAAAAGAAAATATACATCTAGAGTAGCATGCTGTTCGTATGGTACGAATTTAGATTACCAATATTCTGGTTTGGATAAAATTTTATCCCTAATTCTAAACATATGAGTAGGAAAGCAAAAGAAGTTGTTGCCTTTTTGAAAGGGAGTTATCTTGAACAATTATTCTTTAAAGCAACTACTCATTTATTTAAAAGAATCATGCCCAAATATAGGTATTTCTTATAAAATATTTTTCAAACTCAATCAAGATGTTTAAGAAAATTTATTTTCATATATTAGAGCAATGAGAGCTGTATATGATGAAATAACAGCCCTTTAGTTCGTATATTGTCTAACTGTAAGATGGTAGATTCTAGGAAAACACAGTGAAAGCATGTTTACAGAGAATCGCAATATTGAAAATGATAAAGAATGGAACTTGATACACGCAGCAGATGTCAATGAAAATTGTACTTTACAAGATGAAGTTATGTCAGGCGTTATGGATTTTTTGTACAATAAGGTAGAACTTTATTCAGAACAACTAAAGTCTGTTTTTAATTTAGGTACGAAGGAATCAGGTATACCGTTCGTTTCATAAATACTCAACCAGATTTTTTTTTTCTTCATTGTTTTATAGACTGATAAAAGTTATAAGTTTTATTGTTATTTTATAACCTTTATTCTTTACCAAAAACTCCTCTGAGATAAACCTTTCTTAAAATTTTTTTTTACTATCAAATTGAGAAAATTATTTAAAAAAATTTTTTTGTTTTTAAATTAAACGAAACTTGTTTGTACTATTATTACTTTAAAATTTGTTTCAATATAATATGAACGAGTGGGTTTTTTAATTTTTTATTTGATTAAAATTGATATAATTTATGTTGCTAGATCCGTTGCATATAGATTTGGACATCAATATCCCTCTCTTAGGATTCCAACAAAAGATTCACCCGTTACCAATCCTCCTACATGGATAGCTCACATTTCTTAAGGAAACCTTTTATACCCATCTAAACTTTTAGATGTGGCATTTGAACTTGAAACACTATTTAATTACTTTCATAAGAATTATTTATCTAATAAGTCAATGATTTTTCAAAAAGTTGCAACAAAGGTTGAAAACAAGTTAAGTGCAGAATCTGTAAAGAATTAAATTGTGTGAGAAGGAAGGTGAACAAAAAAATTTGGTTGACAGCCATGTCTCATAGAACACAAAGGTTTATATGTAATTGGTTAGCTTTATTTTTTTTATCGATATGTAATTAAATGGATGTTGTAAACAGTTTACTATAATTATGCATCTAAAATAAGATAAAATATATTTATTTTCTTCTTCAGTTACTGTAATCAATAATTTTATTCTTAGTTGGTTTCAAACTTTTGAATCGTTGGTACACAGTTATTATTGGTCTACAAATTATTATGGCGTCGTTTTGGAAGTGCTTCTGATTGGTCGTGTGTCTTAGTGAACCTAAGGTTCATTACATCATTCTTGTGAGAAAGAAGATTGAAATTCAAATTTAAATTAAAAATAAGATGTACGCTTATTTTTTTAACCATTCATTATTTATTGACTTCAAATACCTACAGTATTTGTATAATAATCAGGATATTATTCGATGTAACATATAGTAAGTCATGTAAAAAATCAAATTTAGGCGTTACAAGGTGCTGTGTCATGTACCTTAGATACTATGTGGTCAGTAACTAGTACTTTTACCTTATGTGCAGTGCTCAAGTGAAGAATGCTGCAACAAAATATTTACATTTGTTTTACAATGGATAGGAAAGTCTAAGAAAGTAGCTATAAATATACTGCTGGACATTCTACTAGAGTTCATGACTAATATGTCTGTACTATACGTCTGTAGACCCTAGACTATCAAGGAACTAATTATGAAAATCAAACCATCTACTATAGATACCTACATATATCTTACCATTTTGCAAAATCACTAATTAAAGTACAATATCACTAATTAAAGCTTAATACATATGACTCAATGGTTTTTACATCATGGTTATAATGGATCGTCAAAAAATTACGTAACTATCTTCATTAGAGGTTTAAACTAACAAATTAGGCTCATAAAACAACTAATGGAACAGCTAATCCTGTAAATGTTGTACATAACCAATATTTTCTAAAGTGCGATTGTAAATGCATCTTGTTAACATACTTATTTTTAGTTGACGTTTTAAATGAAACGTTTAGATGTATGAAAGAAAGTAGCCATGGTCAAAATAAAAAGAAGTTATCACACAACTTCTATGGAAACCGAAAATCAGCAGGGTTATGCTGCCAATGTTGCAAAAACTTTGACTGAAACTGAGGGTACAGATTTTCCTGACTTTATTTTGTATCCCACTAAAAAACCAAAACAACTCAATGTATATGAAAAAAGCTTACCATTGATTTAGTGAGCTGTAATAATAATGTATGATTATCCTTTCATTTCTGCAACCTAAGATTGTCGTTTTCGGAGAAGTTAACATTGTTAGAGGTCAAGTTCCCATGCTCTCATTTATGTAAACTCAAATGTTCTTTTCTATTCAAAAGATGACTTAATATTGCTATCGGGTACGAGATCAAATAATAGTGATAACAAGACTTCATTGTATTCAAGTCATTGATTCATATGAGTATACATCAAATATAAATACAATTAACGGTTATTAAAAGTTTTGTTGACCTACTATTTTCAACAAGTACGTGTGCAGATCTTATGTTAATAAATTTAAAAAAAAAACTTCCGAAATACTTCACGATTTTAAACTGTAATGCATCAATTTGTGTCCAAATATTTAACCAAAATTACCTGTAGAATATTAAAATCGTAATACAATTCTTTTATTTACTTTTTTCAACTTGCAATCCGTTAAATTACACAGCAGAAAACATATTTTGATTCGTTCGTATGCTAAGGGTACATTCTGATCTATTTTTCTCGTTATATTATTACTCTTTCATCAAACCGATGATTTCTTAATGTATACTTAATACCAGACAACACACGATCTTTCAAAAGTTCTTTAAATGGTATACATCTTTTATCTCTGATAAAGTGTAAGAGTTAGTAGGGGAGGATAGGGCATGAGTGGCACCCTAACTTTGTTAGGCAATTTAAGCAGCAGTATTTAAACAAATAACTGTTAAAAAAATATTATTATTTGGCTCAGCATCAACTTAAAACATTGCAAAAACTTAAAAATTTCTAACTTGTTTCATTTACTTTTTTTTAGACTGTTTGAAAAAAGTCATAAAAGAAGCCACTCCATACCTTACCGTAAGTCACAAAGAGGCACAGGGTAGGGCACGGGTAGCTCGACGTCATGAGGTAGATATATGTGCACTGTATCAATACTTGTAAAGTTGTTGACGCTCTTGTATTTTTTAATGAGTAATCAGATTTCTTTTGAAAATAATAAAACACTCATCTTTAAATATGTATGTATTTAAAAAAATAAAAAAATAGTTAAAAGTTATATTACAAATAAACAATTTTTTATTTTTTCACAAAGTTTTATAGCATACAAAATTAGTAATAGTACAAGTATATCTTAATCTGTGTTGCATTTTTATTATAAGTTTTTCTCACTTTTCACTTGCCTACACATATTCACATAAAACTTTGATTGCTTGAACTTAAATTAAAACAGCCTTTTTAACTTGCACTAGAATTTTTTAAATATATTAAAACCTTAAAACTTTTTTGTAATAGATACATAGTAAAATATATAATTTCTTGATTAATTAATAGTAATTAGAAAAATTTGCATCTTCCCACATTGAATACAAACTTCGCCCATTCAACTTTTGAAGTTATACTTC